TCCCTGAAGGTTCAGTTGAAGTTTTAGGCACTGGTTCAAGTAGCTGTTGTAGGATCCAAATAACTTTATCCAACCTTATTCACGATCTGGCTCTGAAAATTCTTTCAGACCTGAAACTTGGGATACAAACTCACAAGCCTGGGAATTATTTATTTGTGCCAATTCTTTTAAATACATTTGATTTTAGTTTACAAGAGCACAAGAAAAAGTCGGAACTTTGTGGTTTCCAGTGGTTTTAATATGAAAATTCTTACTTGGGGATGAAGTATTGCTGGCTTTTTATCTGAAATGTGTATTACAGTTTTTCTGGCATTTAACAATGAATTTAACTGAGGTGCTGGGAGGGGAAAGGGAGAAATAGCAATTTAATTTACCATACTTTTGGATGAGGATTCCAGGTAATAAATTTGATCTGATGAATCAATCTCTCTCTTGAAAACAAAGAGCCTTTAACTGTTTACTCGACAGACTGCAGGGATTCGGGGAGAGTTCTTGCTGCTTATTGGGTAGATAATGCAGATTGCAGATGATGTGCAGATGATGTGCATTTTGATGAATATTTTCCCACTAGACTGCAACTGCTTCTATCTATTAATTTAGATCTAATGGGAAAAGTGTGTTCCTGGGTAGTTTTAAGCTAGGACTTTTTAAACACTTAGCGCATCATGGATATGTATTTCTGTCTGCCTAAGATCCATTGCTGAAATGAAGTTTCAAGTGAAGGTGGCATCTGAGATTCCTATCTTCCATCTGTCCCCAAAGAAATCACAACCTGAGCCAAACCTATGCTGTCATTTGCATCTGGCTGACAAGGGAGACAATATTTACATTTTCTTGATCTTTCTGATTGGGTTTTTACCAGACTTACCAAACGGGATGGTAGTGACTGCGGTGCTTTTGGTGCTAACAACACATCTTGAAAGCCAACGTTGTTTCATAGTCTGCTGCAAAGGTGGGGCCGCATCCAGTCACGGTTACAGGCTTAAAAATGCTGTTATGAACAGAGTCCACGCAAAGCTACGGCAGAGTGTCCTGGCAAGCAGGACTAGCTAAGATAAGTGTTCAGCAAAAGAAAAAATGAATGAAGTAAAAGTCTTAGACAAAGTTCCAGATATTTTAGCTGTTGCGAGCTGGTGCAGTTCCATTGCACACAGGGAAGCGCTGCAGATTTGAACCAGATGACGGTCTGGCTCTCAGTGCAGAGGCCTGGAGTTTTGAATTGCTTTATAGTAATGTCTTTAACTGATTTCTTGGGTGCGGATTTTGCAAATTTGGCAAATTTTGCTGGTTTGAACTTCTTTCTAATGTGTAAATGCAAATATGTATGAAACTGTACGGAAAAGCCATTTGTTTCTTCTTTCCTGGGGTCGTCTTTTGTCGTTATCACCAAGTAAGGATGTTCAAAAGAATTCTGATAATGTCAGGAGCTTCTTCTGCTGGAATTAAATTGCAATAAAGTCATATTGCTAACAACACTTTTAACGGGAATATATGTATTTAAAACACCTTTTGAGGGAGACAGAAGCCTATATCCCAGCAATAAGAGAATAAAAAGATAAAGCCAGCGCCTGCGTGACCGAGAAACTTCTGCCTGCTTTGCTTTATCCTGAAGTGATAGGATGACTGAGATCGTCTTTGGAAATTACAGCTGCCATTGAGAGTGAAGCCAAGCCTCACTGTATTTCAGAAAATGAGAATGATGTAGCCCTAGAGGAGGGAGGGGCTGAATCCCCAGGGCATCTGTTTCCCATCAGTGTCCCACCATGCTTGCAGTCTGGCTTGGCACTCTAACATTTAACCTTCCCAGCATGAGGTAGACCATAGGGCAACAAGGCTGCGGAATAATGAAACAAGAGTGTAGTGTGGTGTACAAAGCCTTTGTGAGCGGAGAAGTTGAGACATTAAATGATCAGGGTACAGAGATATGAAAGTTCCAGATTTTTCTAAAAAGCCCCCATTAGTCTCACGCAGAAGGAAGAGCGCGCCGTCTCTCAGCAGGCAAAGGCAAGGCCTTTCCCCATCTATCCATGCCTTTTTGCCCGCTGCTTTCAACTATTATAAAGATACAATTACCTTGGGAGATTGTGGCAGTTCAGTTGATTAGCACGGTGAATTAAAAGAATGAGTCACAAATGACATGTCCAGCTCTTCTCTACTAGTCCTTTGTATTCCCAGTGTACCTCACCCCTGTTGTAAGAAGGTCAAAAATTAGAGAGAGATAACAATTTTCAAGCAGCTAGCACTTAGGAGCAGAATTAACAATCATTCTGTATGTAATTGCCAGTTAATAGTAAATTGCCTTCTAGACTGTAAAATGCAATATAAACTGGTGGGCACCTAAAATTAAATTAATGAGGTATTTGCTGCATTTAAAAGTGAATAGTGCAAATTAATAACTGGGTACAATACTTGTTTTAATATATATGGAACAGTGCATCGTTTGCTTGTTTAATAATAATTTTAGAAGTGCTACCTGAAAAATTCTCTATTGGTCTGGGTA